AAGAACATCAGTACCCAAGGGAGGGGCGCATTTATGAGTAGATAAGTCCTGTAATGTAGAGTAAGGGACAAGATCAGCATTGTCAGATTTGGAAATAAACCAGGATGCTGAGCTAAATTAGATTTTCACATAAACAGTGTGTCTTTTTTTAAAAAGATTTATTTATTTTATTGGAAGGGCAGATTTACAGAAAGAAGGGTAGACAGATCTTCCGTCTGTTGGTTCACTCCCCAAGGGGCTGCAATGGCCAGAGCTCAGCTGATCCAAAGCCAGGAGCCAGGACACGAATCAGCACCCGCATGGGATCCTGGCGCTTGCAAGGCGAGGCTTTAGCCACTGTGCTAAATCACTCTGGGCCCAAGATGAGTAATATTGTTAGCATGTGTCTCAAATACTTCATCTTGGAACCTCAGAGATGTGCTATATGCATATATTGATTAGGTAAGGGAATTTAAACAGGTATCTGATAAGACTTATTTAGTTTTAATTAATTGGCTGTTTTCTGGAGAAAATAATACCTGAGTTTTAAGTTTTAAAGGAGTTGTATGAGTTTGCTGGGTGAAGAAAGGCAAGGAGAGTATTTGAATGAGAAATAGAAAGTGATGGAGAAAGCACAAAATCTTAACACAGCAGTGTGTATGTTGAGAACTCAAACCTTTGAGTGTTAACAAGGCTCCTTAGCACCAGGCAGTAAGGCTAAGAATGTCAGTAACTACATTGGAATTAACATGGCATGGTAATCACAGTAATGATTTTCCCTGAGCATACACCTACTGGAATGTCAAAAAAGGTATTTTAAATGCAATAATTCACAATGACACCAGAAAGCTAGAAGGGCTTACACAGCAAATAAAAGCTTTGAAGAATTCCTGGAAATAAAACATTAATAGGATCTAGTTATCAGTGAAATAAGACTGAGAAAAAGGAGACATTTGCTTTAATGTTGTTTCAAATAAGAACAGGTTTTCCTAAGGATACTTAAAGTTCATTGGCAACAATAAGAAGAGCCTGGATACATGACTGTGATAAGTATCCAAAGATCTGCCGTGGGAATATTCAGCCTAGTGGTGCCTGCTCGTGCATTGGAATCAGATCTGGGCTTGATTCCCGACTCTAGCTGCTGACCCAGCATCCTACTAATGCACACTGGAAAACAGCAGTGATGTCTCAGGTCTAATTGGTCTGCTGCCACCCATGGGTCTGGATTAAGGTCCCTGATCCTGGCTTTGGCATCTGGGTAGTGAACAAGCGGATAGAAGGTCTCTCACCATCTCTCAAGCATGAAAGCAAACAAAGATCAGGATCTCTGGGGTCCCTGCAGCTCCCCCCTCCTTCCTCCACTCCCTTCTTCCCCTATCCCCCTCCTTCTCCCACCCCTTTCCTTCTCCCACCCTTTTCCTTTTCCCATTTGCCAGCCCACAATTTCCTCCTGGAATAAAGCCTTGAGGATGTTTGTTTTTCTAACTATGATAAGGGAGAGTTGTTAGGGTTCGAATTATCATAAATATTTGTGTCTAGATTAAATCAAGGAAAACTAGAGATAACTCAAAGCTTTAGTCAAGATTGTAGACCGTGAATACTCCAAAACTAAAGTAGGTTGGCTCTTGGAGAAAATTGGAAGGCCCCAAGTGGAGGCACCATCTTGGTTCTAAGAAGCACATTATTCTGCTTATACATGAGGGTCCTTCAAGAAGCGTTTTTTTCATACGTTTAGCATATTTTGATAATGATAGATTTTGTATATTTTAAGTGTAATAACATTATGTTTTAATTTCTCAGATTATCACTGACAGGAAAATTCCAATTATATGGAAACTTTTAAAAAATTTGTATCACTGTAGTCACAAATTGTAGATACACAATCAAATTCATATACAATTTTTGGCTATAAAATCAGTATCTTTAAAGCTGTATATATTTAAATTGGGTCTTACAGAATTATCTATATTGAAAATCTAGATCAAACGACTATGACTGCGGGCTGATATTTGGACCAGTGCATCAAGCTAAGGGTTATACTGTGCATATGGACTATACTGTGTATCCAGATGTACCACTTTTTAAAATTTATCTATTTTTACTGCAAAGTCAGATATACAGAGAGGAGGAGAGACAGAGAGGAAGATCTTCCATCCGTTGATTCACTTTCCAAGTGACCACCAACAACTAGAGCTGAGCCAATCCAGAGTCTTTTCTGGTTCTCCCATGTGGGTGCAGGGTCCAAGATTTTGGTCCATCCTTGACTGCTTTCCCAGGCCACAAGCAAGGAGCTGGATGGGAAGTGGAGCAGCCAGGACATGAACTGGCACCCATGTATGATCCCAGTGCATGCAAGGCAAGATTCCTAGATACTCCACTTTTGATTTAGCTCTGAACTAATGACCTTGGGAAAACAGCATGATTTTATCAAAGCATGTAAAGTATATGAAAATTAGCAAATAAGATCATTTTCATATTAGCTTTTGAAAAAATCACTTCTAAAATACTTGAAGTTACTTATTAAAGTTAAATGGTAATTTACAATAGTTAATAAATATTATGTTTTTTTTTAATGATGAATTGCAAAGAAAGGGAGTGAAGATGCAATGAGAGAGATCTTGCATCCACTGGTTCATTCTGCAAACAACTGCCACAACCACAGTTGGACCAGTTGGAAGCTGGGAGCCAGGAGCTTCTTCCAAGTCTTCCATGTGTGTACAGGGAGGAGCCCAAGGATTCGGGTCATTTACTGCTGCCTCCCTATGCCAGTAACAGGGATCTAAGTCAGAAGTGGAACAGCCAGGACATAAACCAGCACCCATATGGGATCTCAGCTCTACCGGCAGAGAATTAACCTTCTGTTCTACCATGTTAGCCCCCAAAATATTGTTTTTTCAAATCAAATTTGAAATTTAAATATAACAGATGGATAGTACTTTTTAAATTGCACTGAAAATTACCCACAAATTTGGTTCTCAGGATCCATGTTCTTGCCCTTGGAAAAAGTTAGTACCATGGTATATTTCTAGTACATGTAGACCCACATGTCACTTTTACGGGTATTACAAATTATTGAAAATTACAACATTTAATTCAGCTCTCATGCGCAATTCTTTTTTCCAATCATGAGTTCATTTATGAGTACCTCCAGACCCCCACTCTCCCCCGCTGTAAGGCAAGCAAGGAAATAGATGCTGAGCCCTCTTTGGGAACAATGCTTCATTATGCAAGAATCTGCCGCATTCATCTCTAGAGGAAGGATTTGTCAGGATAATTAATTTGTATTTTTTTTCTTTCCTGTGTTTCTGCCTCTCAAATCCTCTCTGCCAAAGCAATATTCACTTATGCATCGGTGGGGCTCAACTCACAGACCCTGCTGGTGTTCGGACAGAATTGTCTTCTTTTGTTTCAAGGTCATGGGCGGGAGATGAGGAAGCGTGCTTCTCCGTAGTGTTGGTGGTATTAGCTGGAGGACACATGCTCGGGGATGCCAACTCTGCTGTGCCCAGTCTGACTGCCACATCCAGAGTGAGAGAGGCACCTGTGTCTTCTTTGACCATTTATTTTTGTGCAGCACCGGAAGGAGTGTGGCTGCCCCTGCCCTTCACCTTGGCCTGTCATCCAGCTCTCACTTGCAATCATCAGAAACAGTTTCCTGTTATCAAAACTTGAACCCAGTGGGAGGTGACCAGAGAATCTAATTTCAGTGGACAAAGATGCTGTTTCATCTAAACCCACACTGCAAATAGGAACAAGGAAGAAAAACCACAAAACAAAGCAACATCCACTCGACATCTGATGAAAGCTATTACGGGAGAAAAGCACCAAATGCAAGCAATTAGAGAACTAACACTAATACGCAGTGTTAAGAAGAGGAGAGGCAGTTAGAAGCCAGAGTGATGGATGCTACTGGCCAAAGTAAGGCACTTCTAGTGGGCTAAGGAAAGGAGCTCAGCAGGAGAGGGGCCTTATCACATTGGTGCAATAGACAGGTTACCGACTGTGGTGCAAAAATGGTTTTGAAGGGAATATGATTAAAGGCAGGAAACCATTTAGGAAAAAAAATTTTAACAGTTATGATGGAATTTGACACAATGAAGACCATGAGGGTAGTGATAAAGGAAATTTTCTGAAAGTATTTAATCAATACAGTATTTAGACTGTAGTGATGAGGGAGGGACCAGCTTGCAGATGTGGGTTAGGAAGCCAGCATACCATAGCAGAGTCCTTTGCTTCAGCTTTTGGCTCTGGCTCCTAACTCCAGCTTCCTGCGACCACGGGCCCTGGGAGGCGGTGATGACTGAGCACATAACTAGGTCCTCACCACTCACATGGGAGACCCGGATTGAGCTCCAACTCTTGGGCTTCAGTTCTACTCCAGCTTGACTGTTAGGAGCCTTTGAGAAGTGACACAGTGATTGAGATCTCTCTCTCTCTCTCTGTCTTCTTCCCTCCCTCCGTCCCTCTCTCATATTCCTGAATCTGTAATAAAAAACAATAAATACAAATTTTGGAAAAGAATATAATGGTAGGCTAAATGTGAAGAGTGAGGAATAAACCATTCAAGGGTAGTGTCCACGCTTCTGCTCTCTGAGTCATCGGGATTGATGTCTTACTAAGTGATTCTTAAAGACAGAAGAGAAGTAGATGGGGTTAACGTTAAAAATTTTTAAATTAGACATAATAGTAATAAAATAACATCAACCAAGAGTAACAAAAGATGATTCTAGTGGAGTTTCTAAGATGGACTATCCCTGATTCCACCTGATGCTTTGGGAGATCTATCTAGACTCCGCTTAGTGCTCTAAACATTCTGACACACAGACACTCATGTTAGTCCTTTTTGACAGTTGAGGCAGTAGATGTAATGAGTTCGAATAACTTCCCCAGACTCACAGATAACACCCTGAGTATATAATGTGATCATCATAAACCCAACAGCTTATTAGAGTCGCGTCACAGTAAGTCGGCTTCATCTAGCGCTGCATAAGAATACACGCCCAAACCCTCTTTCTTAAAAAAAAAAAAAATGATAAGCATTTATTCTCATTCAGTTCCTATGGATCACACCTTGAGCAGCTAAGCTAGGCGGTCCAGCCTGGGGAGGTCTCGGGCACTGGCAGCGGCCATGTTAGCCGGGTGGGACAACTCTGAAGGCATGTCCACTTCGTTTTGATTTACTCTCCTGGTGGCCACATCGGTGCTGGTTGTTCACAAAAGACTGGCATTTCTCTCTGTGTGGAACTCTTTATCAGGACCATTGAATGTCCTCCTGACGTGGATGGTGGTTTTCCCAGATCAGGTGATCCAAGAGACAAAATAGCAGAAGCCACACAGTTAGTACAACCCAGTGTCAGAAATCACACCTTGTTGCTTGCTCAGCATCCTGCGGTAACACACAGGTTAGCTGTATTCAGTGTGCGAGAGGAATGGGCAAAGCAGAGGATCGCTGGCGTCATCTTGGATGCTGGCGGCCATGCATCCTTTCATCTGGCAATGTGACACTAAACCACAGTTCCCTTTGATGGTGCAGTCCGGCTCTCAGTTCAGCTGACTTCACCTACGGATAGATTTTCAGACAAGCATGCACTCTCTACGCTTTAGGCAATCAGCTATAAATATTGTAACTGTCAACCAAGCTTTAGTCTATGTTGAACAGCAGGACATTTGACGTTGTAATTCTTGACAGGTTCCTGGAGGGCAATGCGTACCACTTGTTGATTAAGGGTAGAAATGGGGCTGGTGTGTGGCACAGCACATTAAGCCACTGCCTGCTACACTGGCATCCTATATGGGCTCCCAGTTCCGGTCCTGGCTGCTCTGCTTTATTTAAAAAAAAAAAACAATATTTAATTTTATTATAAAGTCAGACATACAGAAAGGAGAGACAGAGAGAATGATCTTCCGTCCACTGATTCATTCCCCCAGCAACCACAATGGCTAAAGCTGTACCCATCTGAAGCCAGGAGCCAGGAGCCTGCAAGTGCAGGGTCCCAAGGCTTTGGGCCGTCCTCGACTGCTTTCCCAGGCCACAAGCAGGGAGCTGGGTGGGAAGTGGAGCAGCCAGGACTTGAGCTGGTGCCCATGTGGGAACCTGGCAGATACAAGGTGAGGACTTTAGCTGCTAGGTTACCTTACCAGGCCCTAATAAATATTTCTTTAAAGGGTAGCAAAACCCCATCCTAGCCAATCTCTACCATCTACCAAACCTCATCTCTGACTACTTGCTCCTTGTTGGTACGCTACAGTTGCCGTGGCCCTTTTTTTCATCTCAGAGCATTTGACTATCTATGCATCTCCTCGGCTTGGAATGCCTTCCTTCCCTCTTGCTTCTCTTTCTTCTAGGCTGCTTTTGGAACACCAATATCTTACAGAGACTCTGTCTCTCCCTTGGGATTCACCTAGAGTGATGACCTCTCCTAGTTTTGGACCTCAAGCCATGTCCTGGGCAACCCTGAAGAATCAGCACCCTCGGGGGCAAGAAAAGGCTCCATTTGTCATTTTGTCACAAACAGTACTACTAAACACACAATGATTGCTATTATCTGTCAGTTCTCAGATGCAGTTGTAGCCCTGACTTTATCTCCATCAAGAATTAACTTGTACCAGAATGTTGGAGAATAGGGGCTGGTGCCATGAAGCAGTAGGCTAAGCCTCCACCTGTGGTATCAGCATCGCATATAGGTGCTGATTCATGTCCTGGCCATTCCACTTCTGATCCAGTTCTCTGCTTCTGGCCTAGGAAGGCAATGGGAAATGGCACAAGGGCCGGGGCAATGGCTCAATTGGTTAATCCTCCCCTTGCAAGGGCTGCAATCCCATAGAGGTGCCAGTTTGGGCCCCAGCTGCTCCACTTCACTTCCAGCTCCCTGCCTGTGGCCTGGGAAGGAACTAGAGGATGTCCCAGGGCCTTGGGACCCTGAACCCACAAGGCAGACCTGCAGGAAGCTTCTGAGTCCTGACTTCAGATCAGATCAGCTCTAGCCGATGTGGCTGTTTGGGGAGTAAGCTAGCGAATGGAAGCTCTTTCTGTCTCTCCTTCTCTCTGTAAATCTGCTTTTCCAATAAAAATAAAATAGATCTTTAAAAACATAAATTAAAAAAAAAAGAATCTCAGGTGTTGCACTTAAGGGAGAGATGCAGAATAAACTCTTAGCTCCTGGGTTTTGATTGACTTAGCTCCAGATTTGGGCAGTGAACCAGAGGGTGGAAGGACTCTCTCTAATTCTGTCTCTCAAATAAAAATAAAATAAATCTTTAAAAAGGTACTAAGAGGGTCCAGTGCAGTAGCCTAGCAGCTAAAGTCCTCAACTTGAATGCTCCGGATCTAATGTGGGTACAAGTTCATGTCCTGGATGCTCCACTTCCCTTCCAGCTCTCTGCTAGTGGCCAGGGAAAACAGTAGAGGATGGCCCAAAGCCTTGGGATCCTATACCTTCATGGGAGACCTGGGGTAAGCTCCTGGCTGTTGGCTTCAGATTGGCTCATCTCTGGCCATTGCGGCCATTTGGGGAGTGAAATGGCGGAAGGAAGATCTTTCTCTCTGTCTCTCCTTTTTGCATATCTGACTTTCCAATAAAAATGAATCTTTAAAAAAAGAACTAAGAAATCAAAATTAATTTTTTTAAATTGCTGAATAAAGGGGCCCGGTGTGGTAGCCTAGTAGCTAAATTCCTCGCCTTCCATACATCAGGATCCTATATGGGTGGCAGTTTGTGTCCCAGCTGCTCAGCTTCCATTACAGTTCCTTGCTTGTGGCCTGGGAAAGCAATAGAGGATAGCCCAAGGTCTTGGGACATTGCGCCCACATGGGAGACCCAGAGGAGGCTCCTGGCTCTTGGCTTCGGATTGGCTCAGCCTGGGGAGTGAATGAACAGACAGAAGATCTTTTTCTTTGTGTCTCCTTTTCTCTGTAAACCTGCCTTTCCAGTAAAAACATATATGTATTTTTTTAAATTGCTAAATAAGACTTTTACAAACATCAAAGACAAATCTGCCTTAAACGATCCTATTTCCCAAAGCAATTTTCTAGTGTGGGGGTGTTTTGTCCACTGCTGTGCCGGTCAGTTTTTCCCAGCTGGCTCTTTGGGGAGATACCTGGGCTGATGTGCAGAACAGCCAGTATATGTGACGGAAATATTGCACCCTACCATCACTAATTCTTCACTATGACCATGAGAAAGAGCACAGATCCGGGCACAGAGCTGGGATAGAGAGGGCGACAAAAGGACCCTGATCTGCCTTTGACACCAACTTCATCTTTTTATTTCTTCCTCAAAGATTTACCCGTCTTCCATTCCTGACGAAGCAACAATTTCCAGTCCAAACCTTCCTCAACTCTCAGAAAAGCAAAGAGCCTTCATAGAGCCAGCTTTGTGGTTAGGCTGCCCCCCTGGACACCAGCAATCTTGCTGCTGATTCTGGCTGCTCCGCTTCCAATCATGCTGCCTGCTGTTGCGCCTGCGAAAGCAGCGAAGGTGGCCCAGGCCCTTGGGCCCCTGCTGTCCATGGCAGAGACTTGGATGGAGTTCCTGGATCCTGGGTTTGCACTGAGTTAGCCTTAGCTGTTGTGGCCTTTTACGGAGTGATTTTGTGAATGGAAAATATCACTCTGCCTTCAGTTAAATACATTTTTTTTTGTAAGAAAGAGAGCCTCGGATTGACAACATTCACTCTCCCTTGAAGATATTTTGACAGCAGAACTTGATATTGTTTTAGAACCAAGAAACACATCAAAGTATTTTGTTAAGGTCACCGATTAGGGCAGAAGAGGAACTAAGTAAGGTAAATATTATTTTCTGTCTCCTTTCACTTTCAGCATCTCATTTGTAGGTCTCCTAAGTATCGCCGGGATATTATTATTCCAATTTTCTCACCAAAGATTCCAAGTCCAGGAGGTTTAAGTGATTTGCCCCAACTCACCGAATTAGGAGGTGGAGTACATAGGATTTGAAGATGGTGCCATTAATTCGGTATATGGGCCGTTAAGTTTTATCCTGCATTACGAGGAACCCATGTTGTGTTACAGAAACCTGAAAGGGAAGACTGCTATAGGTGTTTCTCAATCAACCACACAGCCTTCTCAGGATGTGGCTAGACAATGACAGAGCTAACACACTTGTGGCATAAAGAAAGTGGGCTGTAAAGAAGCAAATCAGAAAATTTCCCTTTGGACTGCATGCTAAACACAAAGCCAGGCAGAAAAATAGATATAAATCTGGGGCTAAAGGCTTTTCCCCATGGATAGAAGAGCAACGAGTAAGTTGTTGTAAACTGGGTTTCCATGGGGCCAACCCACGGAGATACTGCTAAACTCCGCACAAATGATGGGGTCCCCTCCACTGGAGTCTCTAGAAGCCAGCCAGTTTTGGGTGGCCAACATCCACTTTTCTGGAAACAGTACCATTTTTGTCTAGGAAACCAGGCCTCCCCTAGCTTTCAGTTCAGGAGCTTTAGGTTGCAACATCTATGTCACTCTGCCAAGAGTTTATTTGGGGGTGATTTCACAGCATGTGACTCACATCTCTTAAGAGTGTTATTATTTTTCAGGAGAGTTTGTGTGACCTAATCTGAATAATTAGAATGTTATATTCTCCTAACTACATTAATTTTGTTATATAATCCAATAGAGCCAACAAGAAGAAATTAAACTTTGTTGGAATTGTTGGAAGTCAAACTTTAAAATTCCTTTTATTGGGCCAGGCATGATGGCTCAGTGGCTAACATCCTTGCCTTGCATGCGCCAGGATCCCATGTAGGTGCCGGATCATGTCCTGGCTGCTCCACTTCCCTCCCAGCTCCCTGCTCTATAGTCTAGGAAAGCAGTCAAGGACAGCCCAAAGCCTTGGAACCCTGCACCTGCGCGGGAGACCCTGAAGAAACTCCTGCATTCTGGCTTTGGATTGACTCAGTTCCAGCCATTGTGGCCACTTGGGGAGTGAACCAGTGTTATGGAAGATCTTTCCATACCTCCTTCTCTTTCTATCTGTAAATCTGCCTTTCCAATAAAAATAAATAAATCTTAAAAACAAAAACCCTCCTCTAATGGAGTTGAGGTTGGGAAGATGGAACTATAAGAAGTTACCTTGGCACCATGCAGAGCTGGAGAATATCACATTCCTTCTCAAGGCAAGAAATTGAGATGCAGTTTCCTAACGACTTCTTGCTTGATCTTTCTCCCAATACAGCTTGGACTACAGGAAGATTTTCACTTACACGAGCCAACAACACATCAAAGGTGTGTATATGCATAAGCCAATTTGGATGTGTTATTTGTTACTTGTAACCAAAAGGAAATTATAAATGATGGAGAAATTTATACCAGAATTAGAGTGAAAAATAGAGCCACCTAAGTGAAGGGTAATGTTAGGAAGCCATGTGATGGGTATTGTACGGAGCTGCCGCCTGCCATGCCTGCCTCTCATATCACAGTGCTGGTCTGAGTCCTGACTACTCTGTTTCTTATCCAGCCCCCTGCTAATGCATCTGTGAAGGCAGGAGAAGATGACCCAAGGACCTAGGCCCTTGCCATCTATGTGGGGATCAGGATGTAATTCTGGGACCCTGGTTTCATCTTGATCCAGACATGGCTGTTAAGACCATTTGGGAAGTGTACACAGTGGGTAGAAGGTCCATGTTCTCTCTCTCTCTGTGTCTCTGATTCATCCTGTCACTCTGCCTTTTAAATAAACAAGATTTTTAAAAAAGAAGTAAGATTCCTCCATCTTGGGCTGCAAATTGTTAAGCCTTTCTACAAAGAAGGAAGTGCTCATGAAAATGACTATTTTGTGTTTCATTCTAGGACTTAGCTTATGTGTTGACAAAGGTGGAATGATAGAATGTTGCAACCATGTCAGAATTTGAGTGTGTAGATTATTGCTTGTTGCCTATGCTATGTCACCCCAAAAAGAAGAGCTCAGGTTGAAAGTGGCTCATCTGACATCTCACAGCTAGCACGAATCTTTTTAAAACAATCTCATAGGCCCTATCTGAACCACCTCCTTCAGTATACTTCTAATTAACAAAATAGGCAATCTCAAAATTCTCAACCATGTGGATAGACCACCAGCCTGGAGCAGCTAAGTCTTACCTACCCATCTCTGAACATGCTTTTGAATCATCCCGAGAAAGATGAGGAGATGAAGACAAAGAGAGGGTCCAAGCATTGAAGAGTATTGCTAGGAAGCAGTAGCCCATAGAGTCAGTTCTAGACTCAACTGTCTCAACAAACTGGCTTTGGTTATTGGCCCAGAGAGTTGCATGGAAGAAAGAATTAACTACCACTTGTCTGTTGAAAGAAGGTAGGTGGCTGTTTTACCTCTAGTGCTCTTACCCTATTATTAGTGCTAAGGAAGCGTAGGCTCAGGAGGAGAAAGCCTTCTCTCGCAGTGTCCACCTCAGATACGACTATGGGAAGATGAGGGGCCACTTCTGCTGATTACAAAACAGCCCGTTGGCAAGATTGGAGACCTTGTAACTCCTCCCAGCTGGGACTGATGTGTGCTCAGTGCCGAGGACCCATCTATGTTTTTTTCTGTCCTTTCCTTTCCCACAGAAAGGTTCACGGTTGCCAGATAACAAAACCAGAAAATGATGACACATCAACGCATCTATTCTCCTGGTGCTTTGATGCTGGAAAGAGCATGTTGTGTCTATTTGGGATATGCTACTGTGTTGGGGGGTGGGGAAGGAAGAGCTGCCTGTAAGTGGTAGAAAAGGCATCCAGTGCCTTTCTATAGTAGGCTAAACCTGTGTCAATGGTGTCAGCATCCCATTCGTGCATGGTTCAAGTCCCAGCAGCTCCACTTCTGATCCAGGTCTCTGCTTTTGACCTGTGAAGACAATGTAGAATAACTCAGGTCCTTGAGCACCTGAAACCATGCAGGAAACCTGCAAGAAGCTTCTGGCTTCAGATTGGCTCGCTTCAACCACTGCAATCATTTAGAGAGTGATCCAGCATATGGAAGATCTCTCTCCCTCTTTCTGTATCTTCTCCTCTCTCAGCTCTGCCTTTCAAATAAAAAATAAATATATATTTTTTAAAACAGAGGGAGTAAATGCTACTGAGCAGACCAAGCATTATCATACAAAATCGAGGTCACTGTAATGAGAGCTCTGGTGCAAGATTGTATCCTCTGCGCTAAGCAGAAATGATCAGCTATAAATAAGCCTGTTGAGCTTGAAGCCCCCATCTTTGCCTGGGATTTGCCCAGGAAGAGTGTGGCCTCAGCTGGAAAGCTGGGTAGGTGAGGGTCCTGCCAGAAGTGTCTGGTAACTGCACTGCAGGCAGCTGGGTAACAAGGTAGATCTGAGGGTTGCACTTCCACAGGCATCACTTGTGTGATGACTGGTTGGTTTGACTCTACATGGGCCATTATTTTCCTCTTAATCACTATCTTGGGTATGTAGAGTGTGTGTGTGTGTGTGTGTGTGTTAGGCTTTGCTCAATGATGTGGGTCACTCAGAGAACTTAGACATGTGTTCTAATGGAGTAACTAGACAGGATTCGAATAGACAGCATTTTAACCCTTTAAAAAGTGCCCTACTGCAATGTTCACCAGCTCGTACAAGGCCAAATGGAAGGCCAGATTATGCTGGGCACTGGCCTAAAACCCACTGGCACATGTGAGAACTGGGTCTGGGAGTAGGTCAAGTGGAAGAACTTGGGAAACTCCCCTGGTGGGTCATAGCTTCTGCTGGTGAACACATGGTCCAGTCCTGGAGGTCGGACAAGCTGGGCAAAGCAGCTCCAATGGCTGGCTGATGTGTGTGTTGGTAATGGAACATGGCGGACCGGGCAGGACTGAGCAAACCTTAGCTCACAAGCAAAAATAGAAATCAGGATGGAGCACAGGTCATGCCGAGCTAGGCTCTTGTACCTACTGGTGTGCGTGAGCCAGGGACGCTAAGCCACAGCATCTAAGGCCAGGGCCAGGACAGGTGAGGGGCTGTGCCAAGCTAAGTCAGAGCAACCACCAGCATGTGCATGATCTATGGCTGGGAACAGGCCCGGTTGGGGAGCTAAGGGGACATCCCAGCTGGGTTGAGGTTCCCAACAAGGAGCACGTGGACTGGAATAGGGGCTGCGTTCTGAACGGGGAATGGTTGTAGTCTCCCTTAGCACAAGTGTGGACTGGGACTGGACACACCAAACCGGGCCAGACTCCAACACCCTCTGGTGTCCTGGAGGACCAGGGTAGATGTGGGATGGACTAGGCTAGGTCTCAGCCCCAACTGAGCCATGTGTGAGCTGTATGTGGATAATGACAAGCCATGACTAGGCTGAAACATCCAACACTAAGAACCAGATTGGGATGAAGGCCAGTCAGGAAAGGCCACTGTTCCTACTAAGACAGGAGGTGAATTGAGTAGGGCTGGCTCATGGACCCACTGGTTTGCATGAAATCTGGCATTGGGAGAGGTTCTGATGGAGGATCCTGGGCAACTTCTCTGGCAGGACACAGTTCCTGCAGGTAAGCACAAGAGGCATGATAGGAAACAACACAGAACAGGCCATGGAAAGTATACCACTGGCACACATTTGGCATGGGTTGGGACAGACCAGGCTGAATCAGTTCACGTCATCCACTGGTGAATTTGAGCACCAGAACAGAGTGTGGGTTGAGCCAGGTTTGGTCATGACAAAAACCAGTGCACATTACAGAATGCCAAGGTGAGGTTGCCTGTACCAGATGTGGCCGTAGCGCCCAACAAGCACATGAGAACCAGGGAAGGAAGGGGCAGAACCGGCAGGGGGAATGTGCAGGGGGGATCCCCTGTTGGACAGCTGTTCCCACTGGAGAGTGTGAGCTGGGATGGGGGCAGACCAGACTAAGCAAGGCTACGACACCTGTGGGCCTCATGTGGACTAGATCAGGGAATAGCCATGCTGGAATGATTGTTCCTCCTGGTGCAAGCATAAATTAGAGTGGGTGAGGGTTGATTGGGCTTAGCCGCAGCATCAGCTGACAGAAGCTGGCACTAGGAGCTAATTCTGTCAAGTTAAGCTGCAGAACCACCTGGAGAGTGCATGATC